ATATAAAATTTAAATACCAATTTGAAATATCTACTATTTTTAATATTAATCATAAGATTAACTTTTGTTATACATACTTATAGGCTTTTGTCAAAATAAAATATGGTGTCGCATGTTTAAATTATTATTTAATATTGTTTTGCATCAGGACGTAAACACCAATATATTTGAAGAAAACTATACAAAAGCAAAAACAAAAGCACAAAAAAATGTCAAAATTTCTCACAAGGTGGAAAAGAATTCTTGGCATTGTATAGAATATTTTAAATAAAAAAGAAAATTGTATCTTTCTGGAGCTTATGACATCAATATTCGCTAATTAGATTATAATTTTTAATATAGGAAGCATAAATCTTATTTATATACTTATATTATTTTTTTATATGCTTAAAATATTATTTGAAACTAAAAATTTAAAATTTAAAACAAAAATTATTTGAATATACATACATACATATGTATGTAGTTGCTAAATATTTAGAAAATAAAAAAGAAAAACTAATTATTTTTCAAAATAAAATTTAAAGAAGTAAACAGTCATGTCTTACGCCGACATTAACAAATAGATCTTTTTGTCATTATACCTGTTTCATATAATTGAAATGTCAATGAAGTGAAAGTAGTTTTCTCAATGATTCAAAGCAAAAACTCAAAATATTCTTGGCATTTTGTACTTTTAAATGTGTTTTGTCATATGGAGAAACGTCACTGATCATTATTCATTCCATTATAATGCGCATATTATTAGCATGTGTAAAATTTTTACAAATTACTAATGTAAAACGTAACACATTTTATTTATTTGTAGCAATTTGTAGAATCTTGAAAAAAGTTGAAAATTTTTCTTTTTAATTCTTAAAGACGTTCATCAATTATCTACAAAAACATTGTATTTTTTCTACTTCATCTATGATTTAAGGATATTTCAGCATATTTTTAAAATATATACGAAATAAAAATAAATTTAATTGACATTATTAATATAAAGTTTATAAATTGTGGAAACGTGTTTAATAATTGCGTGTTATATAAGAACTGTGCGGTTGTAAAATATGTGATTAATTATTTAAATCGAGCTTTATTGCTTGAACATAGCTAATTTGATTTCTTTAATAAAATATATTATATGGACATAAAACGCGACTGACAGAAAATTTTTGTCATAATTTTGTTTTGTCAAGATATAAACATAAAATTACAATTGCGATCTGCAACATTATAATGTTTTAGTTGCCGTTTCCATGTACGAAAAAATATACAAATTGAGTCTGACGAAAGTCGTTTACATTATGTAAAACCTGTTGAACATCAGACTGACAACCAATAAAAGAAATTACTCTATTTTCACCAAATTTACTGTTAAACTTTTTAACAATAAAAATGACAGCAGTGAAGTTTTGTGGAAGTTTGAAGCAACGAACACTTGACTTTAATTTTGGTAGCAAAATTGTAAAAATTTGCAGTCGTCAGACTTTACTGTAGATTTTAAATTATATATGTAAAGAGTGTCATATATGTAAACAGTGCCTTACCTCTTTTCCAATGACAGATAATATTAATTTTAAAGTTTTTAATTTTTCAAAATATTTTAGACTCAATTTACACTTAGGTATAAATTTATATTGTGAATTCTTGCTTTTGCTTTTATTTAATTGAGCGTGTCCAAAAGTGGGCGTATGAATTTTAAAAGTGAATACTTAACATTACATCGGTTAAATTTTGTTTGATTTCTTATTTTTTTTGGTTTTATTGTGAAAGAAAATTTTAAATTTTTATTTTGAAATATTTTCGTTTCAGCTTCATAAGTACATATGTACATATGTATGATCACGTATAACTACAAAATTTGTAAAAGATATAGGTATGTACTTAATTTTTAATTGATTGTAATTATAAAGGCGATCTGCAAATAATATGAAGTATAAAGAAAGTAAGCAAGATAAAAGGCATGTTAACATTTTCTAATATAATAATTTTTTTTGAATTATAATTTGTTGAAATTTTAGAAACTCCCAAAAAGGCAGTATAAAAAGCCACAATACTGCCTTTTACTACCCTCATAGCTTTTAATACCTGCTCCAAATTTGGAATAGAAGAACAGCTTGAAAGATATTTCCATTTTTCTTCCTAAACGCAAATTGACCTGGAGAATTCCTAAAGTAATGGATTTTCAAAAGAGCATAGAAAAATATGCTAATGATTATTTTTTCGAAACTTTTTCGGATGAGTAAAAATACATTTGAAGTAAGTATAAATTTAAATAATCATTATTTAATATAGATTTTTATTCGGAAGTACTTTTAGGTGCTACACATACATATATAATGTTAGAACAGTAATTTTATTCAAGCCAGATTGAACGATTAATATATCCAGAAAAATTTTGTTTATATATATACACAATATATTACTAGTATATGGAAATTGGCAACGAACATATTTAGGGAAATGATCAATTGTCGCAGTGTAGCGCAAGGATCAATATTATCATGTTTATGTATCAGAATAGTTAAATTGATAGCAAAACTAAAAGAAAAATTTCTAAATTTCCCTGTACTAAGGCTGCAAATTTGAATCAAATTCGTAATGAATTTCATATATAAATATAGAAAACCTACAGGGTGCGTTAAATATAAATTTTTAAAGCATTTTTAAAAATTATTGGGCCTTATAATATTGAAATATTTTAAAAAACATAACATGAAGGTCAAATATGCATTTTATTTCGATTATTATCAAAAAGTATGGTATAGTTATATTAATATTAAAATATGTATATGGATACATATGTACATACATGTATAACTCATAGAACATTTTATTATATTTTTGGAAACATATAACATTAAATTTCTTTAAATTCTTTTAACTATAATAATATGAAGTATGTATATTAAATGTCCGCCTACCGTCAAAATATATGAGTCCGTTTATGCATTCACACAAGTATATGCATCTTCGTTTAACACACATTTATGTACATACAATTGGTGGAATTTATAATTTTAATAATTTTTGAAACAATTTAGGTATATATTAAAATATGCAAATTTTATTTAAAAGAAAAATGAACAAAAATCATAATTCCATAGAATTTTTTTTATTAAAAGAAAAAAAAACACGTAATGTTCAATGTATGTATGCATGTATGTACAAAATTTTATATTGCATTTTCAACTTTATATTAAAGAAAACTATAGTTTAAAATAATGTAAAATTAATATTTTTGTTTTTTTGTTTTGATTTTCTGATACAATAAGAATTCGTGGCGTCATTCGTAACGTAAATTCAAATGTTTTTCTCTAAAGAATAATGGGACGCGTTTAGAAGATTTTTCCAAGTTTTTTTTTTTTTTTTGTTTTTTTCTCTCCATCCGTAATATTATACAATGACTTGCTGCACGTTTATCTATTATAATTTGAAAGAATATTGTGTGTATTTGTGTTGGTAAGTGAAAAATATAAACAAAAACTATAAAAATAGAAATATAAAATAAGATAAAAGCTATTGACCCATTTTCATAAAATAAAACAATTTTTTTTTTCCTTTTGTTTTTGTTTGCCCTACATACACGTATTATAGCCGCAGTTGGCGCTTTCCGTTATAGCTATATAGTACATAGATATATTAATGTTATATACATGCATACATACCTATCCTTAATTTTTATATGGATGCATGTAAGCACATACTATTTAATTTTATAAAAATTAAATTATAAATTTTAGTTATGCGTTATATAATAATTCATGAGATTGTTAATTAAAAATATTGTTCCCATTGGGAAATTATTCGTTTCAAACTCTTAAGTTTAACTTTGATATTTACATATATTTTTTAAAATTAATTTTGTATTTCTGATGTTCATATCCATTTCTTAAGTAGTTATAGATGCTTTTCCGACACAAGAAAATTTTAATTTAAAATATGTGTATATGCCCACGTACGTGTTCTGTATTCGAATGAGTTAGTATTCGCTATACAGGTGTGTTTCCATTGACAATTGAAGGTTAAATGAAAAATATCAATTTTAACTGAACATTACCATTGTATAGAATTAAAATACTGAAATATTTTATTATTTTTAATTTAATTTTAAAAATTATATTTATTAATTTTAATTTAATTAATTTTTTTTTTGTAATATTTGGAAATTTGATTGAATTTTGTTTAATATTTGACTCTCTGAACACCAAAGATAAAATTGCTTGGAATTAAGAGAAATTAAATCTAAGTTATTCAAAAGTTAAATTAATTTAATAAAATAATTAAAAGTTAAATCCAGATTTTTTTTTTCTACAAAATTCTATAATAAATATTTCTTTTTGCTTCACCTTTTTATTAGGGGAGCGTTTGATAAATGCTTTCTTTATTAAAAGACATTTTCTATATAATTATAGAAAGAGAGAGTATTTTGGTGTCTCCGGAATATCGATAAACTATAAAAAACAATTTGAAATTAATGTCAGACTGCCTAAATTTTATTGAAGTTTGCCAATTTACTTCAATACTCAGAAGAAAAAATGCTGCAAAAGTGCAAAATATTCTGATTTTGATTATTCTTTTATTACATTAAATGAGAATTTAAATAAAAATTGTATGAAAACTCTGACACGTATAACGGGAAATACATACAAGAAAATAACGTAATAGAACAATACAAAGAAAAATGTAAGCATACACACATGTAAAGAAAACAAATAATAATACATATTATTCTCTCTAAAAATAAAAATGGTCATTTTGGATATGCTGCTATTGCTACGATTGTATGATACATTCAACCACACTTATGTTATTGATCTACAATTCTGAAGGAGCTTGTATACAATAATAATAAACCATATTATTAAAAACCAAAAAAAAAAAAAAGAAAAAATTTAATAACACAAAGAAAATAGAATAAAATAAAAAAAAAAATAAATTCCAGAATAAAAAACAAAATCATAATTTTAAAGAAATATAAATTTGCATTACTTTGTTTTTAAGAATTTAGTTCTATTTTGATTTTTAAAACGACAGGATATTATAACCGCCTTTATTGTATTAAAATATATATACATATAGTACCTCATAAATAAAAATGCCTACTGGAAAAATTGAAAAAGTTTGTGGCGAAGAAGCTGCACATGACGGTGAAATTACATGCGTTTTTTTTGAAAGTAATAACGGTTTACTCTTCTCTGGCGGTGAAGATGGAAAAATCAAAGTTAGTGTTAACATGAATTTAATAATTAAAAAATAAAATAATTTTTTTTTTATTTTTAAATAACAATAATTTATCACCTCTATATATAGAAGTTATATAAGATAATCTCAATTTAAATTATAAAATTTGAATTTTGTGAAAAAAATATTTTCAATATAAATAAATAGAAAAATTTAAATGAAATAAAGGACTGATTTTTAAATCTATATATATATTTTGAATGTGAGAATTACAACAAAACGAAAAATTAATTGAGCTTATAGAATTACAAATAATTGAAAATATTAAGTTTAAATTTAAATGAATATGATTTCCTTATATTTTAAAATAACAAAAAATATTATGCTTGAAAAAAATTTGATATGTTTTTTTACTAATTCTAAAATTATAAAACTTCAACCAAATAATTAAGTTCTTATAAAAATATCCGGATACGAGTATATTTTAAAGATATTTTTGCAATTAATCTAAAGAATAAAGTGATCTAATTATTTTATTTGAACAAAATTGTTATTTTTGATATGAAAATTATTATAGTGCAATAATGTTGCTTCTGTTAAACGTACTAATGCCATATATACATATATAATTTAGTAATATATTTTAGTAATATATATATATATATATATGTATTACTAAAATAATTATATTTTAAGTTTACTTTTAAAGAATGAAGTTCAATATATGTTAATAATTTTTATAGCAAATATTTTATATTCTTTTGAATGCTAATTTTAAATAATAATTTTGCCTACATATAAATTAGTGTATCATATTTAAAAATCTAAAAATCTTTTAATTACTGACCACAAATATTCAAATATTGTTTTTATATATTCACACAAAAAAATATTAATTTATTATTTATTTAATTAAATACAAAAACAAATACAGACAAATTGTTAAGCAGGTCTCTGTTTGCTTCATTCAAAAATAAATCGTTTTAATTAAAAAAATAAATTCCAGCATAAATTTAGAAAGAAAATTAAAATCTGAACCGCTTTTTTCTTAAATTTTAAATACTTAACAAGTTCAATTAATTAAAAATAAATTTATTTAAAATTATTGCTTCTTAATTGCATTTGAATTCTAAAACAAACTAACTTCTAACTAATTTTAAAGATGTCGCTTCAAACATTTGATTCCATATAATATACCGTGATACCATGAAAGTTTCTTCTTTTAAAATATAGGTGATGCTACTAGAAAGAAAATTGAAATTAAATTTTGGTACTAAATATTTTTCAATAAAAATAATAATTATAAATAAAAATTAAATTTTGAAACTTTAAAATAAATATTTTTATATTTTTATGTTACAATTCTTTACAATATTCGAATATTTATTTTTGGAATGAAAAAGCTATATGTGTAGATATTTTGTATGTACAAATATATGAAATGAAAAAATCGGATAGAAAATCTTAAATTAAAAATTATATTTATTATAATAAATAATAATAAATATAATTTAATAATAGAATAATATTTATTCGTATTTTATATTTTTAGGAAATATATTTCCTTTGCATAGTCTAATTTTAAATTGTTCCAATTTTTAAATTTGGATAATGAAAGTCTTTGAGCAAGGTTAAATTTTCATATCCTTAAATAAACTTTCCAATAAATATGAACTTCACATAGTCAGAATTAATAACAGGAAAACTGTAAAACAAATAAATAAGACCTAAAAGTAGTCTTTTATTTTATTAGTGATTTTTTTAAATTATCGATTACAAATATTATTTTTTAAAAAATTTGATTCCTTTTTTGCTAACCTTGATATGACCGCGTTATTATTGATTATCCTTGAAATGACCTTGAAATAGTATGAAATTGCAACAACTAAAAAAGAAGATCTTCAATAAGAAAAGGAATTATTGCGCAAAATGGAAATATGATATAAAAATAATAATGCCTACTTAAAAATTCCAAAAGCACTTTTTTTATTATTGTTTTTTTTCGAAATTTATTCTATTATTTTACTATTAGAATATGAGGAATTTTAAAATTAGTCGTTTAATTGTATGTGTACAATTTTAAAATAAATTTAAAGGTGGGTGTTAAGGGTAAAATTTAAACACACTTGTTCACTCACTTATATTTGTGTTAAGGTGATCAAGTTTTGAAATATTTTTAAATAAATAATGAAATTTTAAATTAAACTATAAATTTCATTTAATGTATTAACTAACGAATTTGAGTATTTTTTTCAAATAAATAAAATTATTTGATACCAAAAATGTATTACAAATAAAAGGAGGATGAGAATCGATTAATTCGAATTCGATTATTAATATTGCTATAACTATCGCAATATATAAATGAAGTTCTTTTTTATTTTGATTTTAAAATTAATTTTTTAAAATACTTATTTATCATATTTTATCTTTAATTTTCTAGATTTTTGATAAAGATCTTAAATTGAAGAAACTTTTAAATCATCATGATTCATATATTTGTACGTTGGTTGTTTCACCAAAAGGAAAATTGTACTCAGTCAGTTATGATGGTTGTTTCAAAATAATGGAAAATCCTCATAAATCAAATTATTCAAAAGATTTTTTGCATGCAACATTCCACGTCAGCTGTATGTACCTTACTGGTGAACGATTGGCTGTTGGTGATGACAGTGGAGTTATTAAAATCTTTAATAAAGATCAATTACAATACCAACTTAGACCAGTTACAAATGTTTTATCATGCGCAATTGAAAATGAAATGGTTTATGCAGTTAGAGATGAAATCGTTGTCACACAAATTGTACCAGGAAAACCAGTTAAAATTAATGAATTATGTGTTAAAGAAGGTACTAAACCATTATGTTTAGCTGGACCAAAATTAGCTGACAAAAATTGTACATCATTTTTGATATATTGTACAAAAGATGGTTTGGGCCTTGTTTGTGTTAATAATCATTCAGAATTTGATGAAGTTTGGAAATTAGAAGTAAATAATTTAATAAAAACATATACATAATTATATAAACATGTAATTAATTTAATATTTTTGTTTTAGAATGTTCATACTGATGAAATTTGTGCTATGTTCCCAACTGAAAAATATCTTTTTACTGGTGCTAAAGATGGTTTTATTAAAATGTGGGGTACTCTTACTACAAAAGCAACTTTATTGGCTGAAATTAATGTCGGTGCTGGTGTCAATTTCCTTTGCAATGGACCTGGTATTAACGTTCTTTATGCAGGTTGTGCTGATGGATATGTACGAAGAGTGGCATTTGCGTAATTTCGTTAATTTTAACATTATAAAATGGCTAAATTACTTGCATATTTGCGTTAAAATAAAAAAAGATCTGAGTAATATTATATTTTGCAATTTCATTAAGTTCAATTAATTTTTTTTCTTTCGTTTTTGTTTTAAATATATAAATTAATGTATTCTTAATCATAAAAGTTATAAGATATTACGAAAAAATATTTTTAATATTGTTTTATTTCAAGTATTTATAAACAAATTTTTTATGTTTTTTTTATTAGGTAAATATGTAAATGCATATTTGTTTATTTACCTACAGTATGTATGTAATTATTTAAATAGTGCAGCTTATACTTAATTTTTATAAATTCGTGTTTCAAAAGATCACAATAGATAGCTATCACGATAAAATTATGAAACTAATAATTGCATGTTATGCAAATTTTGTTTACAGCAAAATAATATTGATGTATGCACTACATTATATACTTTTTTTTGGACTCCTTATAAAAAGTTTTGTCAAGGCAATATGGTTTTTTTTAAAACTTTAATACGCGAATATTATGATTTCCGCTACGTTTTCTAGAAGAACTATTAAGACGTAGCCGAAGAGGAAGATGTATTGTCGGCCTATAAGATGTCAATATCAACGATTTTAAAAATTTATTATTTCACAAGAAATTAAGCGGTGTCTGTCGTTAGGACTAACTATTTAGATCCATGATTCGATGAAATAAAACGAATTCAAGTTTTTATATTAATTTGAGAATAAAAATTAATATTAATTAGAAAAGATATTTTTTAATCCATTGGAAACATAAACTGGATAATTTCAAACAGCTCTCTTTTAAGGCCTAACTAGAATAGAATAATATAGAATATAATCCATAATGTAAACATCAGATGGCGCATATATGAAATTTATACAAACTATTTAAAAACCCTTAATTGACATGTTCGTTGTTTATTCGTTAAGTATATAGCAAGCAACGCATGAAAAATTTATTTAAAATGTAATTAAATTTTCTAATAAAGGTTTATAAAAAAAATATTTGGCTTGACAAAAATTATAAATTTGCAGGAAAAAATGTTTAACTTGGTATATATTTAAATTCAGTATAAGTACATGTATAAAAGAAGGACTGACACGTGAATTGCTTCTACGCGATCCTGATATGTTATTTTCTTATAACGAGCTCGTTCAATAATTTAATATTTACTTATGCGTTCAAAAGATTACTGTGTCTAAATAATTTTATTGTGCAAATAATTTTTTGACTGCAAAGCAACAAAAAATCATTGTTAAAAAACGCAACCGCAATTACTAAATATTGCGAATTATAAATTTGTGAATTACTAAATTTGAATTACTAATTGTGAATTACTAAATTGAGAATTGTCAAATTGTGAATTACTAAATAATGAGAATTAGAATGTCTGTTTACTGTGCAGAAATAGTATTTACTGTCAATTTTTTTGTTTTGTTATTATGTTGTTTTATTCCTTTCTTTTTTGTTTCTTTTTATGTTATGTCAAATTAATATTGACCGGTGTGCGCGCAAAACATTCAGTTTCAGTTTTCATATTTGACTTACAAAATAAAACACAACAAATTAAATTAAGTGAAATGGAAAAAACAATGCAATCTAATATATTTAATGCGAATAGAATTCCTTTTTCGCCAAGAACTCGACAAAGTTCTGGTAGTTCGTTTGTTTCTGGGGCTGGAAGGAAATCTCTACTTCCCGGCATTAAAAAAGGTTCCACAAGTGGGTATGTCAATACTAAAGATAATAAAAGCTCAAGTATTAATCTAATATTTTCATTTTCATATAGAAGATACAGTTTATCAGGACGATCAAATCAGTCACTTCAAATTATAGCAAGATCAGAATATAATGTTGTGGAAAATTTTGGTTTACCGCTTCCAGTTTTATTAAATGAAGCTTTAACTTTTTCGGAGAGGAATTCTAGTGTATCTATAAATTGTTCAGAAAATGGTTGGGCTTGGGCAGTTACTGGACGAAGGTTATTGGTATGGCAATATAAAGATACACTGAAAACCAATGTGGATGTTATAAGAACACCTCAAAGAAGAACAGCCTCTGCACAATGCAGAGAACTTACTTTACCTCATTGCGATATTGGTCATAAGGCATCTTTGATTTCTGTTTTTATTCCAGAAGAGCAGCAAATGGCGTCCTGTTTAGCGGTTTCTCCGACTGGAGATGCTAGATATTGGCCATCAATTGCTCACGATGGCTCGTCTATCGATGCAAGTGGTATTTTAGAAGGTCAAGAATTTGATTATTTAGAAAATATATCACCCCAAGGCTATGTGTTGGCAACAACTACATGTAACTTGGTAATGCTTCAATTAGTTTTGCAAAATGGAAGGCATGTAATCCATCATCGAACAATTAAACCACCATCAGGATTCTTTGGTGGAATTGGTAAAAAGTTTGCTTCAATAATTATTGGAATGAACAGCGGCCAAGATAAGGAAAATGTAAGTCATATTTTAAAACAAAATGTGAAAAACACTAAAAACCTTTTTAATATTTTAGAGATTTGTCAAATTGGTTTCTGAAAAAGATGAAGATAGTTGGTTTGTCACGGTATTGGCGGATCGATGGCTTCAACGTTGGGCATTTTCAGAAGAAGGAAGTGAACATTTTTTGTATGAAACCCATGAAATATTTCGTAAAATTCGCGATGAATTTCAGCATAAATTTTGGAGTAACAGAGGTGATTTTTGAATTAAATAACATTTGATTTGTTTCAAAATTTTGTTTTTACAATTTTTTTTAGAACATGATGATATTGAAGTTACATTTTTGGATATGCAAAACTGTGATAATAAACTTCATATTCTTTGTGGTGCTGTTAATAACACGCACACACCACAAATGTATTACGCTATAGGTGAGTTTAAGGCAAAAATCTTTTTTTTTTTTAATATTACTCTTAAAAGCGGTATATATTTAAAAATTTTTAACGAATGTTTCCAAAAGAGTTTATTTAATTTGATAAAATAATTAAATTTGATAATCAATTTTATTTTAAATTAATTACGTCATTTGTACTACTCCACGAAGTTGATAAGGGGCACAATTAAATTATTGTATAAAAAACCTACGTAATTTTGGTCATTGTTTTGTTTGGAAGTAATCGTTTATTCAAAATTTTTTTCAAAATGCAATTTCAATTTTATAAATGTTAGACCAATAAGTATTGAAGAAATAATGATTATTTTTAAAATTTGGAAATTTTTATTTATTTATGCATACCCCTATGTTTTAAAATAATATATGATCCAATAGAAATTAATTTTAAAATGTATCTTAAAATAACAAATTGTACATTTTTTGTTTGAATAAAAATTAAATACTCTCGTAATCTGTTCTATGTCCTTGATCACAACAAGGACAGCAACATAAGTAGGATTGTATATGTGTTATTGATCTTCGAAAGATTGATGGAGGTTTTACTCTTTCAAATACGTTTGCACTTTCTTCTAAATAAGATGCGGATCTCATCATATCATTGATAGTAGTGTCCATTTTATCAACTTCTTCAACTATTTGATTTAAATCCGTAATAAAGCCAGTTTCTGATTCCCGAAATTCATATGCTTTGTTTTTTATAGCTTCTGCGGGAGTTTTCCAAAATTTATTTATGCTCTCTGTAATATCATCTTCAAGTTGATAGCTAGCATTAGACTGTGATTCAAGTATTGAAATCTCATTTAAAATTTCCTCTTTAGCTGTTTTTGTAATACAACTAATTGTTTCAGTAAAATTTTTATATTTTTTTAAACTATTTATCTGTTGGTTATATTGTTCTGATGTGCTACTCTTGCTTATATCTTTTTCTTGTGGAAGTTCTTTTTTTAATATTTCATTAATATAATTTTCTATTCTGTTTAAACTTTCTAATGAATTTTTTAATAATTGTATTTTTTTTTCTTTAGTGTCGGCCATTTAATTTTTATATTAATTTATATCCGAAAAATTTGTACGACTTTTTGATCCGACTATTAAAGGTTGACTAAACTTATTATTTTTAATTGAAATTTTAACTAGTCTATAAAGATAAAGTTATGTATATCATGTGCATACATATAAAAAATAATAAAATGTTATCGACAAAAAGAAAAATGTATTCAATTTCTTCAGATTACACAAACGAAACCTAGCAAGATCGTTTATATGTAGTATATATTATATCTAAGCATATTTATATGTAAAACTATGTACATATAATGCTTACATATATGCACTTTAGGTTTGAAAAAAGATATTTCATGGATATGGATTTATAAATAATATATTTAGTTTCTTCAAAAGAGCAAGTAATCACATTTGCATTTACAACTTTCCAAATTTTTATTTAAAAAGATTAGATAAAAATAAATATGGTTTTTTAAAACATTTTAGGATATTAAATTTGCGTCTAATTTTCAAATTATTTTGTTAATTTTGGGAGTGAATTGTATTGTTTACGAAAATTTATTAAATCTTACAGCTGAATTATTTTATATTGCACAAATTTTGAATATTATTTTATTAACCGGCCGTGTTGCACATATCTATGACGTATTTTCATTTCTCTATGAAGTGTAAATAAACTATTTTTAGAAAGATATCAGTCTGTCGGTCTGTTTGTCTTTCTCGGTGCTGCCCAGTATATGTACGCGTGCATCTCAAGTTCGGTTGAACAAATTTTAATGAAAATTTATACGTGAGTCTATTTTGACTAAGTCACGGATTGATCAACTCTTGTCATGTGTTAGGCCTGAGGAATTGGACCGATTTACTGGCCGATTTTACAATTTTGATCATTTTTAAGAAAATATTTGCCAGATTAACTTGAAATTTTGTAAATAACCACTTGTCTAACAGTACCAGAAATCATTTAACTTTTAGAAGACATGATTCAACTATTATTACGGACCAAATTTACATTTTTGCGTATATAAAGAGAATTTTAAACAAGGTGTTAAAACAATGAACGAGTAAAATTTTTAACAGTAAAATTCTAAGTGAATTTGTAAAATTATAAGTGAACTATCAGCCGATCTTACATTTTTTATCATGAATATCTGAGGAACCAATTGACGAATTTTCTTGAATTTTAATAGTTGAGTTCTGTTTGCTACTAGATACTGTAAAATGAATGTAAAAGAGATTTTAATTAAAAGTTTACCAGTGCCCTTAAAATTTTGAAGAAGTGTTTAAAAGGCATTTTCATAATCTTGTGCAACCTTTTTGCTAAAATAGACAATACCCCATGCGGTTGGTTATGTGCTTATAACATCAGAGTTTTTAATTACACAATTGGAACGGTTTTTGTTTTGTGTTAATTGGTTGTGAAAAATTATTGAATATAAATGCATACACATGTATGTATTTACATACAATTTAATTGAATCAAGTGTTTATATAATTTTTTTTTATAACTTAATATAAAATAGGTACTGTAGTTAAAAATATAATTAATAATTTTTAAATAATCCACATTTTATCAAGAATAAGAAAATAAATGTTACCGTGTAAAAACTGTGTCACGAATTGCTTAATTTGTAAGTTTATATTGTTTTGTATTATTAGTATGCTTCTATATAAAGCTTATAGTGGAAACCGATTTCATTTTAAACTGCCGGCTAAATATTAATAAAACCGTCATTGTTTTTTGTACTTGTTTTGTTGATAAACATAATAAAAATAGCAATTCAATATCACAAAGCACTAAAATATCTACAAGTATGCGATGTACATATATTCATATAAGTATAAAAATAATATGTTTACCAATATTGTAATTGAACACAGTAAACAAAGGTAAATATTTTTTTTAGTCATATGGGTATATATGATAAGTTATCACTTGGAAACTTTTATAAATTAGTGTGTGTAAACTCTAAATGAAAATGAAAGACGAATTTTAGGTGTTTCCCCAAAAATTGTTATTTTGATTGGGATTCGGTGAAAGCTCGAATTTTGTTTATTTGAAAAAAATTATTGTTTTATATTATTCTTTTATTAGAATTCTCACGTAGCTTAGTGCGTTCTAATTATACTAAAAAAGTTTAGGAAGAGTTAGTAAACTTTTGTTTGAAATAATGAAAGAATTTCTTCATGCGATTATAGAACAAATAGACGACACGGGTTAAGAAACAAGTCAAATTAGAAAAATTAAAAAAAAATTTTTCGTCGTACCGAATTCCAGCCAGTGATATACTAGCCAGTTAAATTTATTTTTAAAATACGTTCTCTAACCCATGTTTTTGATGGACAGAACTGTAATTAAAATAGAGAAGTGTAAAATAAGAAAAAATTTCATGTTTCTGTAAAGTAGTTTAACCGGAATTTATATTGTAATATCGATTTCAGTTCAATATTAAAGGGTAATAAATTTAATAAATAGGCGAATTAATAAAAATTTGGCAGAATCTTATATTGTTGAATAAAGTTATCATTTTATTTACACATTAAAAGCTTATTTAAATTCAGCCCCTAAAATTTTAATTAAGTTCAAAAAATTTATCTAACTTACTTAAATAGATACATACAAAAATATGTTAATTAATTCTATCAAAGCGCTATACATTTGCTGTGCAAAAATAAATTTGCATACAAATTTTGCCCGTGAAAATAATTAGATAATCACTATAGAATAACGGAAATTTTCTATCTTTTAAAACTCTTCCATTACATTAATTTAATTATTTTAATTAAAATATTTAGTTTATAATATTTCTTATATCTATTTTTAGCTACAATTGAATCAGAAGCTGAAACATGGAAATTATTGCTTTTTACATCATTAAAATTAACTTTGTTTTATAGTCCCGGTAATGAAAATGAATGCTTAAAAATGCGATTTATATTAAATAGAGGGATGGCTTATTTATACAGTGATAAAACAATTTATCCAGTGAATTTAGGAAATCCATCTGAAATTGAAGTTGAAAAGATTGAATTTCATTCACAAAATGATAAAATAATGCGAGCAATTGTTGCTCATCAAATTCCACTGTTCTTTACTAGAGCACACGGTTTAGTTTGTGTTTCGCCATCCGATTTTGATTCGAATGACTATATTAATAATTCAGATATTTTTACACCTGGTATATTATCAGAGAGCTTTAATCAATCTATTATTTCACCTAATATAACATCAATAAATATGGGAAATTTAACAATGTATGATTTGGATCCTGATGAAATATTTAAAGCTAATAAAGATGAAATAAGTCAAATGAAAGCTGCTTTTGTATATCACTTAAAACGTAATACGGTTATGTGTAATACAATTTTAGCAGATATTGTTCCACCAAATAAGGAGAAAATCGATGAAGTAGACTCTGTACTAGATAAAATTGTTATTGCTATTGCAGAAGATTTAGCCGAAGATATTCCCGCAGCTGATCCTCGTTGGGAGCATCAAGATACTTGGTATCAAAATAAATCAGTAGCTTGTTTGGGCAGTTCAATATCTTTACAAATTTTAACACAATTAAAAGAGAAAAATATGGCTATGAATCATTTTATAGAATTTTTACATGCTACTGAACTATGGGAACGTTTGCATGCAGTTTCTCAAAATGGAAAAATAAAATCTACTTGCCATGTTTTGGCTGAAATAAACGAAAAAATCATAGCTGCCATTGCATTGAAATGCGCTCAAAATTCTTATTCAAAAATTATAGACGAGGCAATTTACATAGTATTAGATGAGTGGAATGAGGTGCCGTTGGGAAATTTAGTACATCAAGATTTATTTTATGTTAAATTAACGAAATTTCAAGATATTTTTAGAGCTCTTTCTAAAATTGCCGATAAAACAATCCAAAATCAATCGCAAACGTCATTAGTAGCTGAAATTTTAGTTCGAATCAATGATGTGATTTTAATTGTTTTGAACGAAATTTTAAATTTTCGTGAAAATAAGGCTATGTTGTATTCAGTACCACCAAATAATAAAACTCTGTTTGAATATTTACCTTGGACAGCATCTTCAGGGAAAAATGGTTTAAAGGATACCATTTTGCACTTTATTGAAATAACAAACAAATATGGAATAAAAGCAACAGGAGATTCTGAAGTCAAACAAAAATTATACCAACAATTGGTTGATTTGATAGATTTTGTTCTTAATGGTCGTAAAAATTATTTGGATAGTGTAAAAGATAATGAAAAATATAATGTACTTCTTCAGCAATATGAATCCCAAAGAAGAGATTTAATTTTTCCTTTAGGTAAAATATTTTTGTTAGTTTTAAAATTATGGATATATTGTTATAAAATTATTTATAACTTTTTGTATACTTAAAATAGTTGAGGAACAACACTATGAACTAGCAGCAAAGCTGGCCGAAAAATACTTAGATTTTCAAACTCTTATTGTAATTTGTGATCAAACTGAAAATCAGCAACGTTTGAATGAATATATTGAACGTTACCAAGAATATGATTTTTCACAATTCGCAATCAATTGGCATTTAAGACAAAATAAACAAGGTGATTTATTTGAGCGCTTTAAAGAGAATCAAGCGGCACTTTCACAATTTCTTGGTGATCATCCGTCTTTGGCTTGGATACAATTAGTTTTCAATGGAGATTTGGAAAGAGCAGCAGAAATTTTATTGAGATTGGCTAAAGATGAAGTTGAATATGTTAGCAGAAAAAAGGTAAATTTACCTTGAACATTATTTTTTTTATTTCAGTTTACATTTCGTCATTAAAATAATTACAATGTTTAGACAATTTTATCACTTGCGAAGCTAGCATATTTGGCAACTGATTCTACAGACATATCGATACAGATGACTGAAATAAATAATGAGCTTACCTTAATTGAATATCAGGAACAATTACCAGAAGAATTGTTGCAAACTTTTGGTTATGACATAGAAAATCAAAAAGTACTGAAAGCAGAAGAAATGATCCATGTAATTTAAAAAAACAATTTTTTTTTTCATAAGTGATAATCATAGTGAATTTTATTTTTTTAGTTATTAATCTCAGAAGAAAATGAATCAGCTATGGAAACAGATTACTTAAAGGCTCTTGAATTAATTAATTATACAGATGATCCAATCGATTCAAGGCATAAAATTTGGTGTGCAGCAATTTTGCGTGACAATTGGACAGACGTTGATATGAATATTCCAATGGATCAAATGGAAAATATGATGTTCTTTAAATTAATCGATCTTTGTTATTTTATGAGTTAGTGATATTAAATTTCGTCACTTTATAAATTATTTAATATTGTGCATTTTATTTTTTAGATCATCTAGATGATTTCTTACCACCTCAACATGAAATATTAAGTAGTATGGATTTGGATGATTTAGTTAATAATAAATCATTCCAATACCTATTGAAATTAGGTTATGAACATATTTATAACACGTATCAGCGAAAAAATGTAATGGAGGAATAAAATTGATAAAACGCCAAATAAATTTAAGCTAAACTTTTACTAATAATTGCATTTATGTTATAAAGTAAGTTTAAATGTTAAACCTTGTCATACATTAATTATAAAATAAAAAAATTTGTAATTTTTAATTTAAATTATAATTTTATTTTTATGCTAAGATATATTTTTGCAGGAAATTTGCTGAACCTTACGCCAAGAGGTTGCTACTGCTCACAGTTTAATAATAAGTTATTTAGGTACTTGTGGTGGGAACACTTTGCGTTTCATTAGAAATTATATTTAAAAAGAAGCAAAAGCTTGCTCCTGCATAGGAGTTTAAAAAAATTATCATATAGCTATGTATTTGTAATACTTCGCTTGAAAATAAAACCAATGATCATTTTCATCAAATTTGAAAACAAATTTAATGAATATTACATCATAATCATAATCAATATTATATTCACATAATATGTGCGCAAATATATAAATAGTAAAATATTTTATTGATTAAACTTGAGATTTTAAAATATGTGAAAACTTTAATCACAATAATTTTTGTATAATAATTGTGTTTTCGGCATTTAAAATAGAGAAGAATTGTTTGCATACCATTTATATCATGTATTCCGTTTTTTTCAAGTTTTTAATGGATTAATCAACCATCAGATTGCTTTTTTTTCTTGTGTTACTCTATTTACCATAGAATTTCATGTGTATCGGAAATCTCAATCAACCATTACTATTAAGTATTAAATATTAATAAAAATGCTTTAAAAATATATTAAAAAATTAATGCCATAAAATTGTAAAGATTTTATATATTTTTGTAAATGATATTAAAATTAAATAGTAAAATATTATTTTGAACGTTTGAATTTATCAAGAATATTTTAAAAAACTAAAAAGTTTATTTTTAATGATATTAGAAAACTAATATTTATATATAAGACTACGTACCCAAATACGTTTATGTAATATATCACATATTTGTATAATTATTTTGTTATTTTCATCAGAAGTACATACATAGCGCCAGTAACCAGACTAAAAATTTTATATTTATTTTGATATTTGCATAATTAAGAATTCTTTATTTTTTCTAAATATTATTTCAGATTCAGATATCCATAGGTTCATTTGGATTTCAATTTTTCTTTTACACAAAATATTTCATATTACATAAGTAAATCAGTTCTCTGTGAAACTGGTTTTGTAAAATATATATACATACATATATGTGTAAAGTAACATTTTTCAAAGATTTCTTTTTTCTTTATCACGAGGCATTTGTAGGCTTTCTTTCCTATTATGTACAGTGTTATGGATTCCTTTCAAATAAGAAATATTAACTTCATATCGTATGATGTGAATTAATACAAATATTTTGATTAAGAAATATGTGTTTAAAAAATGTGAACAAAAAAAAAAAATTTTTTGTTCAATCACTCCTATAAATTTATTCACCCTATACAAATGAATTTTTATTAAGACGAATTTGAAATAGCTTCATTGGGCTTACGTTGTTCAATAATAAATTGCTTGTATAGGCTCAACATCTCATCATTGGGACCTCAATACATTTTTGAATTTACGCAAATAATAAATTAAAAAATTTATTTTCCTACTTTGAACAAAATCATGGTTTGAATTTAGTTTTTCTGTAATGGTCTTAAAATCAATTGAATAGCACCAAGTAATAACAATGACGGGTCGTAGAGAACCAAATATTATAGTTGATTTTGTTTTGCTAATCAGATGTCTATAATTATTGTGCTCTTAAACGAAAGTTATTTAGTATTCAGTGAGATTATAAAAACTCCATGTATAAGTCTTATTCAAAAATGGTTTAATGATAATTTCTTTTAAAAAATAATATTAAAATGTATGTATGAATGCAGTATTAACTCATAAATGTGTCATCAAACACATATTCATCTCATTAAAGGAAATTCTTTTAAAGTTATATTGTAACCACAGTTTAATTGCCGACATAATATGTGAATAACATTTAAAAATTATTTAGTATAATATGTGAAACATAAATAATAGTACATTCATAAGATGGTAGGTGTGAGCGTAGTAAGCGTATATGAGTAACAGTTTCTTAAAAGTTGATGTACATTGATAATATTTTCACTTCTTTAAATCGTTTGAAATGCAGATTTTATGTATTATTTTAAATATCATATTTCTATGTACATACAATTTTGAATATCACTTTTTATGTATTATACTGTTCGTATGCTTTAGGCACAAAATCGTTATACATATATGGTACATCATATGCTTCATATGTACATGATATAATGGGCTTATTTAAACAAAAGTACATTATATTTATAATAATTTCTTTGCAAAAGATCCAATATTATATCTGCAGAATAATATCTGATTTGTGAAGAAAATTTCTTTCTTTTCCTTTTCTAAATATTGTTATACATATATTTTGTACTTACCTTTTCTTTTCAAGAAGAATTAAAAGTGTGTAATGTAATTAAATTATCTATGTATGTACGTATCTGCGTATGTTGAAAAGAAAATGAAATTGTAGAGAAAACTATTAAAAATTATTCAAATCCAAAGTATAAATATATTTTATACACAAATATATATTATATTATTCACATACGAGTATTATATAAGTAGGTTAATATATGAGAAATACTATAAAATGTATATGTTTATAAAAAATATACACATATACATATGCGCATATCTCTGAAAAAATTTTCCTTAACATTTTTTAAAAATATTAAATATCACTTTTCTATTCGTAGTCTATGCTATCGAATATTGTTAGAAAACTTGAAATTAAAAAAAAATATATATAACAGTTTTTAAAAATTATAATTATTAAATATCTTCAGTTGGATATTTGTTTTCATTTGATGCGGTCGATATAAAATTTATTAATAATAATTAGTAGCTGTTCGTTAATATTGGAAATAATAATAATTGTATTCGGCTTCATATTTGCTGTTACGGATAAATGCAAGCCTGTTAAAAGTTAAAAGCTATTAGAAATAAAATTTTTCCAATTATATTATTTATCTATATGATTTATTTTAAATTATATAATCATATACATAGTACAACACTATAATTATGATAATTGTATAACGCATGAACGGAAATTTGAAGAAAAGAAAGGAAAAACCAAAAATTGAAACGGTTTAAAGTTCATAGAACCTAAATAAGAAACGGTTAAAAACGGTGTCTCCTTTTTTGCTTCTTTTTAAAAGAAACGACTTGTAAGTTAATTGTACAAAATTTAAATTATATTATAAAATTTGGAGTTTGTAGAAAAACACAGGTTCTAATTAAATATTAATAAATTGTTAAAAAATTAATTATCAGAATATAACAGTTAATTAAGAAGTTAATTTTAATTAAACGGACACCGAATAATTAATAATATGTAATTTTTAAATTTGAAAAAAGTTGAATTTTAATTCTTTTAATAAAGTGCGAGAAAATGCTTCTATTAAATTTGATAATCTTTCATTTTTAAGTTTCAAATAACAAAAATAATTTACTGTTATATATGTATGTATGTATAATATTTTGTTACATATATACGTATTATAATTAAACAAAATAATTGACTAAATATTTTTGATTTTCCTAGTGTAATATAATAAATCTGAAAAAAAAAAACTCATCAGAACCCAAAAAATTTGTGACGTAAAAATCTTTCAATTTTAACAAGTTTTAGTATGTCAAATTTTTTAATAATTTTGATTTTCTTGATTTTTATAGCAGTAATTGAAAAAACTTAAGATTTTTCACCAATATATTTTTTTCAAAGTGTTGCCGTATAAGATTTTTAATTATTAGTGGATCCTACCAAAAGGAAAATTTATAAAATAAATTTTAATTTATAATCAAAATATTGACGTGGATTCGGAATTATTTGTATTGTATATTTTTATACATATTACAATATTATACATTTCCTCTTATTTAAAATACTTTAAATAATAAAAATCTTAATTATATAAAGAGAATTTTTGCTAAATCATAAGTGAACAAAAGGTTAATTGGCTGAAACCACAAAATTCATCTTTCTTTACCAAAATTTTTATTTTTGAATTTGCTTTATTTGATTATGAAAAAAATATAGGTTGAATTCAGTAATTCTTTTTAAGTGGTTATTATTGTAATCAAATAATACGCGTTTCAAACTCTTTTTTTGTGTATACACACATAATTATGAAAATAATTAGGAGAAGTTTGAAAACTAGAAGTTTGATATAAATTTAGTGTGTATTTTTGATTTATTTGTTGTAAGACTGAATAAACATGTACGGCAAATAGGTTATTATTTTATTCAATGGGTAAGAGCAGTGATGAGCAACCTTTTTTTAAATTGGGCTAAATGAGAAAAAGCAATCGTTTCCGGGGCCGCAGTTATAGCAGATTTATTTTCTAGTTTCAAAATGTTGCACAGAAATGTTGCAGTTTAAAATTGTTGCCTGCACCAAAAGTGCTGTAAAAATATGTTACAATGTGGAGGTTGAGGACAGCTCGGCTTGCTGAGAATTATATAAGCGTGGTTTTTTAAAATTTTATCAAACTTCTTTTATTATTTTATTGATGAAAATTAACCGATTCAAACCATGCTAAAGCTAAAAATTCGTATAAGAAATAGATATGTATGTATATTGAATTAAATTTTTTAGACTGTGTTAAAACAAAACGGTGTACAAAAGATCTGAGTACGCATTGAGCATACTGCGAGAAGCCAACATTTAACCAAAAAAAATATTGTCTTTGGGAATTTTTTTTTAAACGATAAGTAAATAAGTGACAAACTGGATTTTTTTTTTAAGTCACAAAAAAAATTTGTCGGGTCGTATGCGGCCTGCGGGCTGCTGGTTGCTCATCACTGGTTAAAGTTTAAAAGGTTTATTATACAGAAAAAAATTAATGTTAAAAAGAATGAGTTTAATGCTGAAAATATTTACGAACAAGTAATAAAGCAAATCCAAAATACAAGATTGCAAGACGGCAATACGTCAAATTAAGATGAATTTACAGAAATTGGTACAGTAAGGATCGTATTTTTTTGTTTTTGTATTTTGAGCAGTATTGCAATTTAAATACTTATATAATTTAAATTTGGTAATAAAAACATACTTACCAATAAGGTCGTTACTTAACTGTGAAATTTTTGAGTAAGAAATTGAAGACTGCCTCGCTGTCCTCACTTATAGTGGATTAGTCTTATAATAAATCTATCTTAAAAAAAATTTTTTTTTTGATATTTTATTTTAAAAATAATATTAGTATGTAAGGGTTTTTATTATATTTAATTAAATTTTGCAAATTTAACAGTTAAAACTGAAGTGGAAATTGTTGAATGGTATTTACTATTGATTTGTTAACGTATTCATCAGCATATAGACAAAATATGACAACTTCAATACCAACAATAACGCCATTACCACCATCAGAGAGAACTCCATTGACAAGGCTTGAAGGTGCACCAGGTCCGTCATATGTTTTTCCTGGAGTATCACCGAGATCAAGAAGAAAACAAATGAGACAATTTCAGTGTTGCATTTGTTCTATATTTATGTAAGTGTATTTGTATACAAAAACTGTTGATTTTCTTTAGATTCTCTACTAAAATTGTTTTATTTTGTTCGTAGAACGGCAACTATATTAGCATTAATTATTGGGATATACTATTCAGATATGGATCCTATAATACCTAATCAAAATAATATGAGTACAACAACAAATGAGCCAACAATAGATTTAAATGAAACAGAAATCTTGTTACTTTTATCAGATCAAAAAATTCCGATTCCAGATGAAAAACCATCTAAATGGGTACTACCAATTCCTTCAATAGAAGAAGCTGTAGCTGCAAAAGATTTTGGTTTAAGAGCTTTAGGTGATAGAGAAATATATGAAGAGAGTTTAATTCCGATGCCTATAAATTCACCATCATTTCGTCATTTTCATGCTATAGTAAATACTCCTGATGCTCGTTCATCATCAAAAAAGGGATATGTTGAATACCATGCAACTTTTCATGTAGCGCGTAAATATAATTACACAAGAAGACCGGGCGCCAGAAATAATATTGGGGAAGGACCATTGATTGATTTAAGTAATAATACCTTAACAAATGTAAAGTGCAATTTTAATTCGCGATATAGAAAAATTAATGGTTTTTGTAATAATAAAAATCATCCAACAACCTTTGGCGTAGCGCTATTATCATACAGAAGAGCTCTTGCACCAGATTATAGCGATGGAATTAATAATCCTAGAGCTGCAAGATCTGGTAATCCGTTACCTTCAGCCAGACAAGTTTCTCTTAATGTTCATCGACCTGTATATACGGCAGATCCTAATTTTACTGTTATGTTAGCTGTTTTTGGGCAACTATTAGATCATGATATTACTGCAACAGCTTTAAATGCTGCTCAAGAGGGTCAACCAATTGATTGTTGTCAAGTGCCTTTAAATCAACATCCTGAATGTTTTCCAGTTCCATTAGTACCGGGTGATCCTTATTTTGATCAATATAATTTGACATGTATGAATTTTGTACGATCAGCACCAGCTCCAACTGGAAGATTTAGTCCTAGAGAGCAATTTAATCAAGCAACTGCATTTATAGATGCATCAATGGTTTATGGTAACACTGAAGAAAAAATTAATTTGCTAAGATCTAGAACAGGAGGTAAATTAAGAATGTTTAGGACTCCTGATAATCGTGATTTATTGCCTTTATCAAACGATCCTAAAGATGGGTGCAATCAAGCTAAAATGAATGCTCAAGGGAAATATTGTTTTCAAAGTGGAGATGAACGTGCAAATGAAAATTTACATTTGACTTCAATTCATTTAATATTTGCTAGGCATCATAATTTTTTGGCAACTAATTTACAGCAAATAAATCCGCAATGGAATGATGAAATGCTATTTCAAGAATCAAGAAAAATTTTAGGAGCACAAATTCAACACATAGCATACAATGAATTCCTTCCTATATTGCTAGGTTATGAATTTGTCAAAAGCAAGAACCTTTTACCTAACCCACAAAACGCAAGGGACATGTATGATCCAGATGTTAATCCGACAATAGCTAACCATTTTGCAGCAGCTGTTTTTCGATTCGCTCATACATTATTGCCGGTAAGTTATTGCAAGTTATACTGAATATTAGTGTTAATTTATTAACTTGAATTATTTGCAGAGTCTTTTTAAAATGACACGGGATAATACAACAGACGAGCAAATAGAATTACACCGTATGCTATTCAATCCTTATTCATTGTGGGAAGAAAAAGGAGTCGATCAAGCATTAAAAAGTGCTGTAGATACACCTATTATGAAAGTTGATGGTCACTTTAGTAGAGAACTAACTGAAAAACTATTTCAAGTTGATTCTCCCGACGAATTAATTCCAAGTAATATTACTGATGCAATACCTAATAAACAGGCAGTATGCGGATTAGATCTTGTTTCGTTAAATATCCAAAGGGGTCGCGATCATGGACTGCCATCTTATACTGAATTTCGAAAACATTGTAAATTACCAACAGCTAAGACATGGGACGATATGGAAAAATTAATTGATCCGACGTCGGTTGAAAATATGAAATTAATATATGAGTAAGTTTTTATAAAGATACAAAATAATTTTTTAATTTCAGAAATTTGGATCAAACAAATTTTTTTAATAAATTTTGTTTTCTTAGAACTCCAATGGATGTCGATTTATATACAGGTGCTTTAAGTGAACCACCATTAGAAGGTGCAATTTTCGGGCCACTTTTAGCATGCTTAATATCTGATCAATTTATACGTTTAAAAGTTGGTGATTCATTTTGGTATGAGCGTAAATTTGGACCGCAACGATTTTCAAACGGTTAAAACTTAATCTTGAAATTACGTAAAAAGATTTATGAAATGTATTTGTATTTTTTTTTTTTGTAGATCAATTAAACGAAATATATCGAACAACTTTAGCCGGAATTATTTGTCAAAATTCTGATAATGTCGTTAAAATTCCTAAACTTGTAATGCAAAGTCCAAATAATTCAACAAATCCTTATGTTAATTGTACAGAAATTATTAATTTCAACTTTAGTCCGTGGATGAATGAAAAATTTATTGCTGCAAATATTAAACTTCGCCTTGGTGCAAAACCTAATATAATAACCATAGTGAAAAATAATAATGGAACAATACCAAAAAATAAATTGGTGTAGAATTACAAAAAAAAAAACAAAAACAAAAGACAACTGTATACAAGTAACTTTGTTAATAATTAATTTAATTATAATTATACATTTAAAAATTTTAGTTTCGTTAAATAAAGTCAATTTTATACGAATATTAAAAAGAGAAAGTATTTTTACAATTCAACTTTGTGTTCTAATCTTTGATACTCGTTTATTTATTCGAATTATTTAAGTTAAATCTAAGAAATAAATTAAAAGATTAGGTTATGATTCAAGAAATGCGTGAAATAGCATGGGCTAGGTACGTAATTTAATTACCGGCAATATGCGAGGTGTTTGCCAGTACAAATCTGTAAAAAATTTTTTTGTATCACACTTTTATATTGAATTTGGTGGGAATAGTAATTACGTATTCGATATTAAAATTCAGTTAGCGCTATTGTTGGTTTTCAATGAAATTATTTTTTAATTTGTGAGTATTTTCTAAAATTTGCAACAAACATATAGTGCACATAACAATTCTACGTATGGTATATCAAATATAGCCATATTTTTTAAATACATTAAAATTTCCTGTTTCTTCTTCTTCTGATATATAAGATTATTATAATATGCCTTAGTGATCGGTTCTTATGACAGATTTTAAAAAAATTTCATCATCCTATTTCATCATTCTTATTTTATTATATGTACATTTTGATTAAGTAAAACTGCATATACATACATATACTTATGTACTATGTATGCATGTATGTATATATTTGTATAAAATAATATTTTTTCACTTTTGTTTTCTTTTCTTGCTACATTGTAATTTAATGAAGGTATATATATATATATCTATATATATACTTACATATATATATATATATAAATATATAAGTGTATTTAATTATTGGAAATTAATAATTTAGTAACGCTTCAATAATTCAACACTAAATGAATAAAAAAAACGAAAAAAAAAATTCTAAGAAAAATTTTATGATTAATTTTATGTCCCGACACTATTTTAGAGATAATGACATTTGAAGGGCATTCGGAAAATAAAAAAAATGTGATGCGGCTAAATTTTTATTAAAAAAGGGACATTATTCGCGAAACAATTATATAAGTAAGTATATGTGAATCATTTGTAGAGGAGTTGTGTTTCATATGTACAAAAAATTAATATTAAAAAAAAATAATGAAAATTTTTAATCAATTTTAAAGTGATTGAACTAATTTAATTTGTGTTAATTGAAAAAGTTGATTAATATTATCAATTTACTATATGCAATACATGTGGATCTAATTCAAGATTAAACTCTGCAAAACTACTCATAGGATTTTACTTCAAATGCATTATTTTATTGACTACAGCAAATGTAGGATATCCAAGATTTTTAATTGAATTTTGTTTTATTCAGAGTTCATAATAATAAATTTTTCTTGTTTGAACACTAATGGCAATGCTCCTTAGGAGGGAATGGAGGCATAATACCAATATAAATAGCTTTAATGCATAGATATGCATATTAACATTTATAATACTTAATAAATGATTAATGCGCCTACGGACTAATCACATTAAATTTTGAACTAACATTGAATGCAATGGATAACTTCTATAATTTAAAATAATTTATATGTCTGTTGCATTAATTTATAATATAATTAATAATTAATAAAATTAAATTAAATATTTATCGTCAAATATTTTAAAAAACAAATCATGTTAAGGATTAGAGACCAAAACAATTGGACATAACTATTCAAGTACTTTCACAGTTCTAGTTCTCATAACTAGAGTTAATGCTCTATAAAAAAATCCATATAATTTTATTGTAAACTTGTAAGCATTGGTCTATGTCTGTACATACACTAAATTATTACTGCACATTTTAAGATTAAATTTATTTTTCACTTTAAAATCTCCAATTTCGTAGAAAATTAATTTTGCATATTTTTTAATTAAATTAACAAAAAATAAATTAAAATGAATTATTAAAGAATATTTTTATTTTTTTTTTTTATAAAAACTTTATTCTTCTTCAATTTATTTTTTAATCTTTTTAAAATTTATTGATTGTGTTATACAATTTCAATAATATTTCCTAAGAAATTCATTTATAATCTGTAGAATTATTTATTAAAATTATTTTCATTTTTATTATTTTCATTAATATTTCCTAGTACAGATGAAATTGTGTTACTATCATCATCAATTATAATTGATAAGTTGCGCGCGCCTCTATACTTATATCATTATAAATAAATTTTGATGATAATTCAGATGTTACTGTTGCTAAATTTGTTGTACGTAATGTAGTTGTTGTTGTTGTTATTATCATATTTGTTGTTGGACATGAATCATATTGTAATATAATTAAAATGCAAGCTAAACTAAAGATAACGAATAAAAAGGTCCAAAATATTATTAAACATGCTTTACGTAAATTTTGCCACCATGGATCACTTTGATATCGAAGTAATTCCTCTAAAGTTAGACTTTTTGTTGTGCTAAATATAAATTAAAGAAAAATGAATAAAATTATTTTTAATTTACATAAATATACGTCATAATTATAATTAAAAACAATATTTTAATGATTTCGATAGGAGAAATGCAGAAATTTTTAAATATTTCGATGTCTCGATTCACGGGTCATTGCATATAGTATAAATGAAGCAACAGCTGTTTTGTTTTTGTGAAATAAAAAAAATTGAATATAAAATTTATTGTGGACAATTTATTTTGATTGTAAATAAAATAATCTAAAGCGGGGCAAATTATTAATCTAACATAAAGCGAGCACTTAAAAATTATTTTGAGAAAATAATTTGGTGTACGTCTCATTCATTAAATTATAGAATTAGGTATATAGAAAAAATTTTAGTATTTTTTCCAACAAAATTTTTGCAATTGTGAGAACAACAAAATAAAAGTATAAGCTAAATTCTTCTTAATCTATATGCTATAAATTATTCTAATATTAATTAAATAAATTAATTGTAAGCTACTATAATCTGACTTTAAATAGTTGCTTACTTGTAGAATTTTCCACAGCATTCTGGATTATTGTATCATAGAGTTTAGATTAGACCAACGAAATGATTTGTGAAAAAATTTATAAAAATTGTAAGCTTACGAATTAGTTTCTTGAAAAGCAATCTCAATTTTTTCGTTGCATACTCCTCTTTTATTTTGTGTTAGGGCTACGTGTCTAAATACACATTAATGATTAAAAATAATGTGCTAAATCAAGAGCTCTTACTAAAAATATTGAGTTACAAACTTCATAATTTAATTTCAAATTATTAAATTTTTGAACTTTCGGATTAATGCAAATTATGCTCGCTATGTCATCGTACGAGTTTATAACAATATTTAATTATTATCATATAGAAAATTATAAATTTCTAGAACTCAGATTTATTCTATTTTATTAGATAATCGGCAATTTTTTAATTAATTTCCGTAATTTTACACCAATCATAAATTTTCCACATTTTTTCTATTAAAATAAATGAAAACTTAATGAAAAACTACAATATCATAAAATTTTTAAAATAATTTTTAACTTACTCAAAACTGAATATATTATTATTGATTTCTTTATCTGGCAAAGGAATATTTATAACGATTCCTTTTAGTAGAGGTGTTTTTTCATCTGCCATATTGTATTTTATATTATTTTTTCTATATATTTAATATTAAACAATTATATCAATGGAACCTTTTAAAAAATCATTAAGCCACACAGCCGAAAATTCAATTTTGCTGGTTTTTTTTTTTTAATATCAAAAATAAAAAAAAAATTTCAAAAATTATACAAAATAATATTAATTCGTAACTATTGCTGTAAAAATCAAATATTTCCATAAATTAAATAAATTTGCATTAAATTGAGCTTCTCCAGCAATCTATTCAAACTTTGTAATATTAAATTTAAATGAATTCCTAAATTTTTGTCATCAATGTCCATTATCACACAAAAATTATAATTTTCAATTTTTTAAAATTATTTTATTATTATTTAAATTTACAAAAACTGCACTTGATTTTTTGTTTTTAAGAAAATATAAAAAAAACCTCTAGCCTATTTGAATATTTTTTTAAAACTAAACTTTTTGAAATTGATCACTTTTACAAGTTAACATAAATTCAACGCAAAGCGGATTAAATTACAAAAATATAGAGAAAATCATAAAAAAAAAAATAAAAGCAAAATAAAATGTAAAAACATCTTATCACTTTTGTATTTTTTGTTTTCTACAAGAAAAATGCAGGTTCTTAACAACCTCATTTATCCTTGAAATACGCATGTGCGTTATCGCCTCTTCTTTTTTTTGCAATTTAATTATAAATATTAAAATTTTAATTTTATTTATTATAATAAAAATAGGACCGTTTTAATGATTATTCTAACACGTTTTAATTTTGTGTAAATATTTTTTTATTATTTGTATTTTATTTTTATTATTCTTAGTATAGGTTTATCATATTTATTAAAAAATCCTATATATCGATATTACAGATTAGATGTTTAGATGATGCAAGTTAAATAAAAAATTTCATTATAATATTGAGTAATTTATGTATTTTGTGTTCACGCACGAGTGCATAAATTAACAAATAGTTCGTAAGTCATCGAATCTCATATGTTTTTAATTAAATTTGCGGAAAATATAAGTCTATTTCATAAGACAATTAATTTATAAGTCGATTTCTAAAAGATGATAAAACACGATAATTTTAATTAAGTATGTATTTTGGGTACATTCTGAGAAAAAAGCCAATCAACAATTGTACTGATTTATATCGGTGATTTGTATGCAGCGTTACCATATTGATTTCACACAAAATACGGAAGCATAGAAAGAAAAAACTGGTGTAAAATCTGATGAAAAACAGCTTCTATATTCAATTTAAGCTCCTTTTTATTGTCATACAGCTTCTGTTTATCAAAAACTATTCTTATTAAAATATAATTTTTCCTGATTTTGATTTTCTTTCTCTTGATGATCTATAAATAACAAAAAAAAAAAAAATAAATTATTTTGTTGGTTAATTATTTTTAAAATAAAGCTCACTTGATTTTTTTTAACTAATTCTCAATTTCACTGTTAGCTATAAGCACAAAGTTGCAATATTAAAATCATTATTCTATTAGTCAAGTAGACAGTCGCTTTTTATCGGAGTCCACACTTATTAATACGTTTAAAATAAATTTTATATTGATTTTTGAAATAATGGGTTACCGCTTGAGCAGTAATAATTCACAAAACAAAAAATTTAAAGTTATTTATTAGATTATTAAGTGCAAAATCTAGCATTTTGGGTAAGAAATTTGATCATCTGGCAGACCTTTGAAAAATCTGAAAAATCAGTTAATTAGGTGAATTGTACAAGGTAAACGATTTTTTGAAAACAAGCAAATATGTAAATTTTTTCAGAAAAAATATTTGAAGAAAAACTAATATTATATAATGAAATTGAAATAAAGAGAATATTTTCGGATAAAAATATGGTAATTAATGGCAACGAAAACAATAAGGAAAATGGTTGGGTTGAAATTGCAAATGTTAAATGTAATTTCGAGTTAAGTTGGAACTGAATTATCGAAAATCCCCCAAATTTTTATTGGGATTATGATTACTGTCCTTACTTTGCATAAGCAAACTCTTAAAGTAGTGCAAGCGGAGCTGAGCTTGAACTCAGTACCGTTTTTGGTCTTCAAAAATCTTCTCTATAAGAAAAAACTTCTTCCATTTGATTTCACTTTTTATATTTTATTATTTTTTTTTTGTTCCATTTATTTTTGAATATAGGCTTATTACAAATTAACAATTACAATTTATTATTTTTTTTTCGATTTATTTTTTTTTTTATTAATTTTTTATAATTTTTTTTTTTAGTTTTTTTTTTCTTGTTTTTTCTAGAGATTTACATGGTAATGGTACAATAATCTATAATTTTTTTTTTTATTAAAATTTATTTTTATCGTTATTAATTTTAATTGTTTTTTCTTTATTTTTTGATAATTAAAAATTAATAAATATCTATATTGTTTTTTTTTTAGTTAATTTAAGTATTAAAATTAAATTTATTTAAAATTTGCATTGAAAAATTAATTAGAAAAAATTAAAAAAAAATTTAAAACATAAAAGAAAACAAGAAACGAGACGAAAAATAGAGAAATAAAAGCATTAAGAGAAATTTACCGTTAAACTGAGAACACAAAATGAAAACATACATAAATTTTTTTTGTTTGTTTTTTTTTTTTATAAGTTTAACTTCTAATATCTAAGCGATTTACGTTTTATTTTTTATTTTTGTTTATTTTCTAATTAATTTCCGAAATTTTTGTAATTTTAAAAATTAAAATTAATTAATGAATAAAATATGTCGGGAAGTATTTATGAATAATTTTTTTATTTTATTTATTTTTTTTTTGAATTATTTTATTTTAAATAAAATATAGTTGATTTTTTACAATATTTTTGTTGTTTGCCATGTTTTTTATTTGTAAATTACTTACAATGTTTTACACTTTTTATATTTGTTTTTTTTTTTTTGTTTGAAATTTTCTTAATTTTTTTTTTGGAAGCTCATTCATCTCTTTAATATATTTATTATGGTTTGAAAATATAATTTTGATATTTAATGTTTTCATTTTATTTTTTTATTTTTTTAAAATGTAGGTCATATATTATTTTTTGTTCTCTGTTGTTGTCATTTTGATTTTTTATTAAAATATTTCAACTTGTTATAAAATTTAATTATAGAAAATAATTAAGTAAAAATTATTTATAATAATAATTTATAACGTAAAATATATATATATATATATATATATATAACATATTGCTTAAACGTATATATATATGTACATATATACAAAGAAAATGTATATACTATAGTATATATGTATGTAATTTAATAATGAAATATAATAATTATGAATATCTTATATAATGTGTGTGTATAATTAAGAAGACTTTAAGGTAGGATATTTTTTTTATTACTTATATGCCATGATATATAAGTAAATATATATTATTATATATGTACATATTAGTTATATATGTGTAATAGTATGTGTACATACATACATATATATATATATATATATATATATATATATATATATATGTATGTATATATATATATATATATATAATAATAATAATAAATATTTTTTTTTATATTTTGTAGTAAAATAATATTTGCTGAGTGTAAGAGCAAAAACAATGATCTAATCAAAAAATTTTTCAATATCGTTTTTTTTTTATCGTAAAACATAAATATTTTTGTAAATGAAACTATGATTTATAGAATATTGAATCTTATTCTGGGTATCAACTCACTAATTAATAGTGATAATTATTGTAAAAAGTTCGATAGTATTATTAAAAACACAAACCAATACATACAAATGATTTGTGTTTATAATAAAGTTTTTGAAACTTTTACGATAAATATCACCATCCAGTTAGTGATTATGCGCCATTCTGTACACATTTCTTTTGTTATTCATATAAAATCGAAATGTATAACAGTAACAATTTTAATTCTGAACAATTGTAATTTAATTCACAATAATATAATAATATATTTTCACAATATAGAAACGATATTGAGTAAAATATTGAAGATAACATTCTTAGCTTTAATTTGTTTATAATTTTTAGTTTTTGATTGTAAAACTATAATGGCGATCTTAAATCAAAAAACAAAAAACAAAAAAAAATTTGAATTGAATAAATTATTAGTATATTAATTGTATATACTTTTAATTAAATTAAATATAAGATTTTTGTATATTTTGTTTGACTAATTATATAATATTCTATTTTTCCTTTTTTTTTTAAATTACATTGTAACAAATTTGTTTTTGTTTTTAATAATAACGTTTTCTATTTTTATATATATATATATATATATATAGATATATATATATACATAATATATATGTATATATTTATTTTATTATTATATTTTAAATAAATAAATATAAATTTTCTGGATATATTTTAATATTTTCACTATATAATAAATAAATATTTTTTTTCTTTAAATAATTCTAATAGTAATTTGTTGTTGTTTTGATCTTATGTACTTCTTGTTTAAATTTGGTTATCTTTGGTTTTTTATTTGTTATTTTTTTTAAGTTATTTTTTGTTTTTGATATTTTGATATTGTCTTTTTGTTATTTTATACAATTTATTTATATAATATAGTTTATTTTTCTTTCATTACGAAAAATTTTATAGGATAATTTTTTGAAATGAATTTCTTTGTTATATTTTAATCCGATTCATTTACCAAATTCAAAAGAAAAGAAAATTAAATAGAAACGTAGCTTAAAAATAATGTAGGAAGAAAGAGAGAATAAATTTTCATAAAATTATTTTCTCTCTCTTAAAAATTGATTTTTTATTTGTTTAACAACAAAAATATAAAGTATAATATATAAAGTATTTTTAAACAATATTTTGATATTTGATTATAATTATAAATTTTTCTTTTTAATTAAATTTTTTTTAATTTAAATTTTAAATTCGATGTTTTATATAATATGTATTTAATTTATTAAATATATATATGTATTTTTAAATTTATATACAATATTGGGTATTAATTAATTTATAAATTAATTAATTATATGGTATAAATTAATAATTAAGCCTGATAATTAATTTATTTTTAAATTGTTTATTTAAGAAAAAAAATTAACAAATCATTAATTTCGAAAATTAAAAAAT